TGGCATGGGTTGGGTTGGGATTTTCGTTCCGTATATTTACGGGAAGGAACATCGCATGAGCCGTCATAAAGGTTGGCACGCCTACACCCTCCGCTCCGGATTACTCCTTCCACGCCTTTTCCCTTCAAAAGAATGTTCTGGAGCATGCTAGGGTTTATTTATTTATTTATTTAATTATTATTATTGTTATTATTATTATTTCTATTTTTGGAAATTAAATGAATTAAAGGCACAAAAGAAGTTGAACAACAACAACAACAACAACAACAGGGAGGAAACAAAGAACAGGTATATTGTGTTTTATTATTATTATTATTAGGAACTTATGAAGAGAATAGATTTAGGAGAGCCCGCTGCTTTAATTAATATATATGTATGTATATATACGTGTATCTTGATGAGACGGATATATTCGTTTTTTAGTTTTTATTTTGTGTTGTGAATTTGAGGAAGAACATAACGTCTTTTTGGGATTGGGGAACCGATATTTGCCTGATAGTTCGCCATTGTTTAATTGTATTTTTTCACTCAGTTCCTTTTTGATTCCCACCTCGCGGCGGGGTCTTGTGGTTGGAGGAGTTCAAAGTCTGCCTCGTCGTAAGAGGTAATATTTTGTACATTCACTGAGTGCAAAGGCCACGCTAGCGGTCAACGGTATATAATATATATTTATATATGTTTTTGGATATTATCGGAGGAAAACACTGAGGCAATTGACTACCTCTTCGATACCCCCTTTTTTCTTTATCTTGTTTGGTTTTTGTACATAATTTCAGGTTCCAGCCAGCGGCCCAGAAGGTTATTCCCGATTCTTGTTCTTTTTTTTTTTCCTTTTTTTTTGAGTCTTTTAAACCCTTAACGAGCAAAAAAAAAAAAAAAAAAGAACAGTCGGACCTGTTTCCGTGTGAATAAATTTGGCGATGAGCTCATCGCATTCTGTGTTAAATGCAAGGGGTAATGCAAGGAAGGATCCCGCTCCAGATCTATCTAAAACCTACAATGATGTTCCCTGTCGTCATATACCGCCCAAGAGCTACTGTGGTTCCCTTCTTTCCAAGTTGGCCGTTGAGTGTGGACTACCTATGATGACTCCGCGAGAGAGAATAGTTGCTGTCATCATGTACATTGTCATTCTAATTGCTCTCTTTACTGTTCCGGCTTATTTGCTCTACATTTTGTATCATGTTTCCATGTCATAGGCATGTCGAATGGGCGGACAGGTTGAGACACACACACACACACACACAAAGCCGAAACCGGATATAACGAAAAACCGAAGAAGCAAAAAAAAAAAAAAAAAGAAAAAAAGAAAAAGAAAACGGACAAGGCAGCGAAATCGAAAGGGGGTAGGATGTTTTCCTTTTTTATTATGTAGATCTTAGGTGTCTAATAAAAATTCATGAAAAGGAAAATTGTTCTCTTGAAGTGTGAGTGCTCGTGCGACTATATGGTAATGTTTTCAATATGGTTGGCATGACGTCTCAAAAAACCTTTTTTTTTTTTTCCTTTTTGTGTGTTTGTGTTTGTTTGTTTGTTGTCTTTTTTACTTTTTTTTCTTTTTTTTTTGGAATTTTTATTTGCTTTGTTAGCTAGAGTGCTTGGTTGCTTCTTTTCTATTTATCTTTTCTTTTTTTTTTTTTTTTTGTTCTTGGTACGGGTGGCAGCTAAAGGCGAGTGGGGGAAGCGTATTTTGTTGGAAACTTGCACATGGTGTGAAGGACATTTAGAGACATATCACTTTGCCTCCTGCATTATTATTATTATTATTAATTATTTCCGGGGACATTTGTTTTTGGATTTACTCCGTTTATATATTTTATAGTTTGCTGTGTGTCCGATTGGATTTTTTATTTATTTTTATTTTTATTTTTTCCTTCATCCGATTGGTGGCTGATGTATCAGCCGATTGGACGGGAGGAGCTTGAGAGGTACTTGCCCAACTTTGACCCCATGCGAGATCCTCAAGTGGGGGAGTGGGTGCTGGTCAGCCCACACCGTCGCGTTACACTTTTGAGGCCATTTGTGCAAATGGCAGTAGATCGAGGGTTGCAACCCACTTATCCATTTCTTGTGGCCAATACGCTTACAGACGGCGCGTCGTCGCCTTCGGTTTTAACTGCAATGGAACCCACATGCTCTGCCCAAGTTGATCCACGTCGTATATTTCCGACATTGGAGGAGGTATGTCGGAAATATCGCCGCCGTCGCGTAAGAAATACCAAACCGGCTATGTTCAATAATAAAATTAATAATATTCATGATGTCAACACAGAAGACGGGGATGAAGAAGATGATGACACGACACTTTACTTAAATGTACGCGCGTTACTTTTAACACCATGCGCACCCGCAGTGTTTGGTGGCTCTGATTTTATTGAGGGACTAGACAAAGAAACTGGACGTGTAGTATTTCTAAACTGGAAAACAGGTGAAGTGCGTACAGATACCGCGGCCTTAAAACCGAGGCCAATACCGGAGTGGGCTGAGGAGGTGGCGGAAAAGGCTATTATGGAGTGGGAGAATTGGCGGCGAGAGGAGAAGAAGGCATTGCACCCGCGGGAAACGGACTGCGATGCACCACCGTTGCAGAAGGCACGAAAAGAATGAGTCAGAAGTATTTATCAGTGATTTGTTTGTGTGGTGTTGCGTGTTAAAAGGACTTGTTTAACGGAAAAGAATTCCATATTTTTAGAAATTCCGCACAGTCTGATTTCCAAAAATCCATTTTTAAGAAAATTCTTTTTTGCTTGTCTGTTTATTTTTTACTGTTTAGTGGGGCTCAAGTTTATAGGCGTATTTGTGTGTTTTTGTGTGTTTTGGGGGCGCGGGGAACATCTTCAAAACACGGCAATGCGGCGTTCAATTCTTTGGCGGGCCTACCCCATGAAAACGATGCAAAACCTCACTCACCTGGAAGTCTTCACCCAACTCCAATTAGGCATTCACCCACCGCTGAGTGTACAACGCCAATTTATTCAACAAAACTTTGAGGAAGAAATGGAGCGTCGGGGAATTACAGAGACGAAGCTGATGGCGATGGAAGGGCGTCTTTGTACACGCCTTCTCCGTCAGCTACTCTTTGAGCGGTATCTTTCTGTACCATTCCGCCTATTCACCTTTGACTTGGAGTTTTCAGGACCTCCTGTGTTTGGACCAGACGGCCCCACGGAAGACATCATTGAGTTTGGATTTTATTCCCCTGCTAAAGATACGGTGTTTTCTTGCTTGGTGAATCCTACCAACGGACGTCGTGTCTCACAAGAGGTAACGGCGCTAACGAACATTACTCAGGAGATGTTGGAAAAGGAGGGACTGCCTTTTCCAGAGGCCT